CCGAGGGGAACGGACAGCCCGGCCCGCGGGGGTGCAGGCACCGGCCGAGGTTGTCCCAGCCTTGGCACTTCCTCGCGTCTCTCCCCGGCGGTGTTTTCCACACGGGAAGCACATGGGCTCCATGCTGCCCTTAACCTCCTATTAAAACACTCTGCTCGGCCACTACTGCCTTTTCCTACGAAGTCCCGGCAAAGGCAGGGGGGATCCCGGGCCTCAGGGGATCAAGGTGCCCCTTGGCCGCTTCATGTAGGAAACAGCGATTGCTGGTTTGGGGAGCAACCAAAGCAAACTGGCAATTCCGGTTCCTGCTGGACGCGTCTCCTCCGGCCAGCCAGGCAGTGCTGATAATTAATCGCGTCCTCAGCACCGCCGTGTGCACCGCAAGGCTGCCAGCACTGGCCAGGTACAGGAGAGGCCATGGGTGGCCTTTTACCTCTGGTGCCTTTTGGGGTTGTCCAGGCAGGTTCATTCCTGCAGCATGAACATGTCAGGCAAAGCCCGGCCGAGGGAAGGGGAAAGGTGCAAGGAGCCGTCTGAGGGGACGGTGTCCCCTGAGCGATGGCTGAAGCAGAGCCCTGGAGTTGCCCCGTTTGCTGCCCTGAACTGCCCCCTTCTCCTGCTCCAATACCTCCTACAGGAGCTTTGCCAGGACACAGGTTCCTATGGTGAAACTGCCCCAGCGCCAGGGCCTCCTCATCCAGGCCAAGTGCCTCTTACGGCCAACTAATCACAGCAGTAGTGGCCACGGGCCGGTGCCAGGAGGCCTCAACCGGTCACCCCGTCCCCTTGGCTCCCAGGGGCCGCACTGGCTCTGTCCCCGCAGCTTGGACACTTCCCAAATCGCTTCCTTCACATCGGGGCCGATTTGCTGGAGCCGCCTGTTGGAGCAGGAGTGCCGAGGTCGGGGGGGCTGGGGGGTGTGGGCGGAAACGCCGCCGCCGCCACCGTAATTAGAAGCAGCCCGGGCAGGAGGGTGGGTTCAAACCACCCGCTGCCCTTGGGCGCTCTGCTCCCCGCTTTAGTCACCACGTTGGTACGTGAGGCTCTGCCCAGCCTGGCGCCCGCGGCCGGGAGCTGCCTGGCTCCAGCAGAAGCTGGAGGACGATGCTCCGCAGCCGCCCCACGCTCACTGCGGCCCAGCTCTCCCCTGTGGTCCCGTGCTGTACCTGCTCCAGCTCATCCAGAATGCCCACAGGGAAACGCTTGTCCTGCAGCTCCCTGATAGCTCAGCGTGGTGCCTGGAATTCGATGGGGAGGGGGTGCTAGTGCAGCCCCAGGGCCATGGATGGGGATGCCGATGGGGCTGGAGGTGGCAGATGGGATGGAGATGGGACAGAGATGCTCCTCTCCGCTCTGTCCCCTTCGCCCCTCAGTGTCCGTTCCGAGGCCGCTGTCTTTGGGTCACTATCCAGATAAATGTCTGTGTGAGGCTCCGGGATATTACAGGAGGTCCTGGAGCTGGGTCAGTGTGCCATAAACGCAGAGCATGGGGCAACAGTGGGAAAGTGCAGCTGTATCCCCAGCCCGGCCACTGGGGCCAGATCCGGCTTCACTTGGAGGCTCCTGTTTTCCTGGAAATTGTCTGGGAGGATGTGGGTGGCAGGGAAGTGACGCTGTGAAATGGGGACATCCAGATCCGGAGCGCGGGAGCAGGAACAGGGCTGCTGAGGGCCACTCTCCCCACAGGCCATCAGCATCAGCAAAGCCATCAACACGCAGGAGGCGCCCGTCAAGGAGAAGCATGCCCGCCGTATCCTTCCATCGCGCTCCTCGCGGCCGGCGGCGAGCGTGCAGGGAGGCCAGCGTGAGCGCTTGTGGGTAGAACCTGCTAGGGGACCGGGTCGGTCCTGGAGGGGGAGATGGTGCAACCAGAAGGGAATAGGTAAAAGGAGAAATAGGTGGAGTATGTGGAATAGATGCAGGTGCAGCATCTCGCAGGCCACTCTGACCCCTTTTTACTGCTAGTTTGAGAGGAATAGGGTCTGTCCCCACTGTGCCTGGGAGAGGAGGATCTGGGCATGTTGTGGTGCCAGGTGACGGGTGGTGGCTGATGCATCCGCTCTCTAGCATCTCCCATGGGCCTTGACTGGCAAGCAGGGATCATCTTGGGGACGCACCATGAGAAGGGAGCCTTCACCTTCTGGTCTTATGCCATCGGGCTGCCGCTGCCCAGCAGCGCCATCCTCAGCTGGAAGTTCTGCCACGTCCTGCACAAGGTGCTGCGCGATGGCCACCCCAACGTGAGTGTCCCCAACTCTGCTGCGCTCCGCGTTTCGGAAACCAAAGCCTCAAGGAGGAGGAAAGAGGAAAATCCCTGGCCTCTGGGTAGGGGGGAGGCCGGCGGGGCCTGGCCCTGCCCTGTGTGTTGCATCTCCCCATCTTGTCCCCAGGTCCTGCAGGACTGCCAGAGGTATCGGAGCAACATCCGGGAGACCGGAGACCTGTGGGTAAGTCGGATTGGAGAGCTTTCTAGATGCTCTGGAGCTTTTCTGGAGCTTTTTTTTTTTTTTTTCCAAGTTTTTGAAAGAAGGCGCCTGGTCCTGGGGGTGGGTTGGGGTTTTGAGGTTGGCACTGAGCAGTGTCTGTCCTCTTGCTGTTCCAGGGCCACCTGCACGACAGGTACGGGCAGCTAGTGAGCATCTATGCCCGCCTGCTCCTCACCAAGATCTCCTTCCATGTCAAGGTAGGGCACGTCGTGGCTCTGCTGCTGCCGCTGCCTCTTCTCCCACAAACCCGGGTTGCTTGCGGCGCTGGCGGACAGTGGCACAGGGAGTTGTGTCCCAAAATACCATCACCCTCGCGTTTTTCTGTGTCTCTTGCAAGCACCCCGAGTTCCCGCCAGGCCTCGAAGTGACGGATGAGGTGCTGGAGAAGACGGCCGGTACCGACGTGAATAACATGTGAGCCGGGGAGGGGGGCGTGTGATGCACCGGGTGCCCAAACCCCTCCGTGTCTGCAGGGGGACGCTGCATTTTTCAGAGGCTTTTTGGCATTCAGAGCTGCAAGTTGCAGCATCTTCGGGGATGGGGCCTGGAGCAAAGAGCCAGGAAACACCCGGAAACGTGATGAGTCCTGTGCATGTGTGGGTGGAAAAAAGGCCCGGGCGAGGGGGAGAGCAGGTGGCCGTGACAGGGTTGTTTGTCCCGCAGCTTCCAGCTGACGGTGGAGCTGTTCGACTACCTGGACTGGGAGCTGAAGCTGTCGGAGTCAGGTGAGGCCGCGAGCGCTTGAGCAATAGTTTCGCTCTTTGGCCGGGAATCGGGTTGCAGCCACGGTCCTTCCTGCTCCGCCTCGCGGGAGGCGCCAGGCTTTCTGAGAGCGAAATCCGCCTCGGAGGCTGCAAGGGAAATCCTTAGGGATATGCTGCTTTTATTTACTAACGCAAGCAAACGCTGTTGCCGCAGTGTTCCGGCAGCTGAACGCGGCCGTGGCCGTGTCGCAGATGTCGGCGGTGCAGTGCCGCCTGGCCCCGCTCATCCAGGTGATCCAGGACTGCAGCCACCTCTACCACTACGCCGTCAAGCTCATGTTCAAGCTGCACTCGTGTGAGTCCCGCTCGTGCTGGCGCCGCGGGTCGCGATGCCCCTTTTCCCCTCTAAACCCCATAGTGGGGCAAGGACCCTGCTGCGAGCAGCAGCGATCCCCTCGTTGCTCTCCTTTGGGGATCGCACCATGTAATTTCCAGCAAATTAAAGCCTAAGTTGTGCCAACGGGGATGCCCGCGGCTGATGCCGATCTTATTCGAGATCTGCCCGCTCCCCGCAGGTCTGCCGGCCGACACGCTGCAGGGCCACCGGGACCGCTTCCACGAGCAGTTTCGCAGGTACCGGCACCACGGGATGGGGCGCCAGGTTCCCCTCACTCCCAGCCCTGGCACTGAAGGGGTTTTCTCCTGTTTTCTCCCCGCTCATCTCCAGCCTCAAGAACTTCTTCAAGCGGGCGTCCGACATGCTGTACTTCAAGCGGCTCATCCAGATCCCCCGGCTGCCGGAGGTACCAGCAGCTTCGCTGCAGCGGGGCCATAGCACGCGGTGATGGTGGGAGAGGGCCCCGGACACCAAGGAGACACGACCATGTCCTCCCCTCCCGGCAGAGCCCCCCGAACTTTCTGCGGGCCTCCGCACTGGCCGAGCACGTGAAGCCGGTGGTCGTCATCCCTGAAGAAGCTCCCGAGGATGAGGAGCCGGAGACGCTCATCGAAATTGGCACAGCCCCTGCTGTGGAGCAGCCGGTGCGATGTGGGGAGGGTGGTGGGATCCATGGTGGGACCCGTGTGGTGGGTTACGGACAGTGGCACCTGAGTGGTGGGATCCATGCTGGGTCCTGTGTAGTTGGTCCCAGGTGGTGGGTTGGCACTTGGACTTTGATGGTGGGACCAACGGTGGGACCTCAGTGGTGGGACCTGCAGTGGGACCTGCTTGATGTGACCCAAGTGACATGGGCCTTACCTGTCGCCTTCTCCCCTCCTCAGGTCACCTCAGATATATTCGAGCAAACCTTTGGGCCGCCCAATGGCCTCCGTGACGACAGGTACGGGAGGCCGGCGTGAGCCAGGGTGGGCAGCTGGCCATGGCCGGAGGCCCAACCTGCTTCTCCTGGCAGGGACGCGCAGATCGAGAGCCTGAAGAAGGAGGTAGACCTGCTTCGTGCCGAGATGGAGAAAATCATGGAGAAAATAAAGCTGGATTTAAAGAGAAGCCTCCGTGGCCCAGGCGGCAGGAGTCTCCCTCACGTCTCACGTCCGGCTGTGGGGGCTGACGCCGCGTCCCCGCGCAGGCGCAGCGCTACATCACGCAGCTCAAGGCGCAGGTGAACGGGCTCGAGGGCGAGGTGGAGGAGCAGCGCAAGCAGAAGCAGAAGGCGCTGGTGGACAACGAGCAGCTGCGGGACGAGCTGGAGCGGCTGCAGCGGGCCAAGCAGGACGGCGAGCGCTCGCAGCGCCTCTGCCTCGAGGCCGAGCGTAGGCGGGGGCGGAGAGGGGACGCGCGCAGGGCGGTGTGAGGGGCCCCGCTGACGCTCTGCTCGGCCCCGCAGGGAAAGCCAACGCCACGGAGCTGCGCTACACCAAGCTGAAGGAGAAGCACAGCGAGCTCATCAACACGCACGCCGAGCTGCTGAGGAAGGTAGCGCCGGGCCACCCACTCCCTCTGTCCCTGTCAGGGTGTCCCACCTGAGCCCTCAGCGTCCCTGCCTGCCACCTCTGCCCGCCTATGGGCAACACTGGGGACTGATGCCCTGAGGAAGGGTGTCCGCCCTGACAGCACTGGGCTGGAAGGAGGCTCAGGGAGGTCTCCCCGCTCGGGTGAGCCGCACGCATGCGGCCGCTGACGGGTGTCCCCCGCGCAGAACGCCGACACGGCCAAGCAGCTGACGGTGACGCAGCAGAGCCAGGAGGAGGTGGCGCGTGTCAAGGAGCAGCTGGCCTTCCAGGTGGAGCAGGTGAAGCGCGAGTCCGAGATGAAGGTGAGCCCGAAACCTCCCCCTGGCGGAACGCGGGCGGGAAGCGGGGCCTGAGCGCACGGCCACGCGCTCGGTCTTGGGTAGCGTCTCAGCCCCGCGCACTGCCCTGTGCTTGCAGCTGGAAGACCAGAGCCTGCAGCTGGAGCAGCTGCGGCAGGAGCTGGAGGAGCGCAAGGACGAGCTGAGCCAGGCCCAGCAGTGCCTCAGCCAGGCCAAGCAGGTATGCGACGACATGAGCTGGCCATGGCCTCAGGCCCTCAGCACGTGCTGACACTGGTGTCATGAGGCTGACACTGGGGACATGATGTTGACACGTGTCCCCGCAGGCGGGCTCGGAGCTGGGTGCCCGCGTGGAGGCCCTGCAGGAGGAGAAGGAGCAGCTGCGGCGCGCGGCGGGCGAGAAGGAGTGTGAGCTGCTGGCGGCGCAGGGGCTGCTCCGGGAGCACGA